ATTGGAAAATTAGAAAAACCGGTCCACTTGTTTTGCATGTTATTATTTACAGTGAAACAAAAAAAATCACATGATGTTTGTGATTTCAGAAAACAAAAAAAATATATCTCATTTCTAGTCAATCACGTCCGTTGTAACGATTGAAGAAATCAATACATCTTTCGAATTCTTGGTGGACCGGCTCGTTATTGTATACACTTGTCGTGCGATATATGTCGGTTTTCTGTCGTCGATATTGTCAATGTGTAATATATAACACGTACGAAAATTTGTTTCAAAAATCATGTATAATCATACATACAACCATAGAGAATTGGACGCGAACATTTTTTTTTTTTTGTTAAAGGGTTTTCATTAAGGGTTAGTTAGCGATATAGCAAAGTTTTGATTTATATTTAGTGTAATAACAATGTAATATATTTAATGGAGGAAATAGCAAATGGAAGTGCTGAGTTTACATTTCTAACCTCCACACGTACGAAAAGATGAAGACTGTTTTAAGTGGTTGTGATGTCAGCAAAACAACTTCCTCTGGTCCGGAATTCAGCCAGCGAGGCTTCTTTTGTCTGTGTTGGTCAACTTTTAAAACCTAAAAAAAAAAAAAAATTTAACAAATCAAATATAGTAGCGTTTGAGTGTTGTTCTTCACTTGTCAATTAGGGCAAAACTGTCACGAATACACAAAATACAGGCGCGTGCATAGTACTTTTTGCTAGTCGCTTAATTAACATTTTTTTTACGTCATTTCTGCCAATTTCTCTTTCGTTAATATTGAATTTAAAAAACAGTACATAAAGAGCCTTAACCGGAGATACCCAAACAGGTAACCGGTTTGAAGATAAACCAACAAATTGGACGCGAACATATTTATACTAAATTGCTGTTATTAGTTTAATAAAAACTAGATAGTTATCCGCGTTATACGGGGAACAATGTGATACGTTAAAAAAATCAATATAGTTTTAGTTTAAAAAATCATCTATAGTTATTGGAAAAATTATTATATGGAATCTAAAATTAATTTATATATATATGAATTTTGCAATTATATTGTATAGAAAAGTATCCCACCCGTGAAATAATTGAAAACAACAAATTTCTATATCACTTATTAATAAAATGTATTTATTTAATATCATAATCTTCAAAAATACGGTTTATGACTCAAATATACAAAATAAAATATTGCAAATATGAATTAAATTTTATAGTTTTAAGGTAATTATAAGAATAAGTGAATATTTATAGTAAATTTTCTTTTATTTTTGTTATAAAAAAAAGATTCTAATGATTGTGTGATTGTGTAGTGTTTGGGTAGTAGTATAGTAGATAATTAATAATAGGATTTAATTTTTAATTAAAATTTTCAAAAAATTGAGAATTTGACATTTAAGCAAATTAATCTAAAAGTGTTTCTCCTTTAATATAAAAGAGGACTTCATAAGTAATGGCAGGAGAAAACAGAGGAGAGAAAGATAGGTTCGTACTAGTAAGACTCTTGTGAACGTTTTTTCCAGTATGTACACAATTATATATGATTAGATGAAATTTTATGTATTTAGATAGAATTCTACTTGATAGATATTTGTATGATTAATTAACTAGAATTCTTTGTATATATAATTTCATCATATGTTGATAGCATTTTTGAAAATCAACATAAGAATTTAACTCTTCTTATATAATGACATGTAAAATTATTAAGACGATATTGTAGGTTTCTTGATGGGTACAACACAAAGAGGTTTTGCCTTGTGTAAGGTAAGACCGAAGACCTCGCTCATGTCAATGTTTTGAGGGAAGACACCGTTTTGAAGTTTCCAATCAAAGGAATAGAGAAGAGAGGCAAGGACCATAGACATTGTCTTAAGAGCCATCGAGTATCCCGGACACATCTTTCGTCCCGATCCAAACGGTAATAGCTCGAAATCTTTGCCTTTTACATCGATTTCTCGTAACAAGAACCTCTCTGGCTCGAACTTCATTGGATTCTCCCACACGTTCGAGTCTCGTCCTATCGCCCAGACGTTCACGAAAACCTAATATCCAAAACCAGTATCTCAAGTTACTCAAAGGTAATGAATGTTGGCGTAAAGAAAACAAGTATGAAATAAACCTGAGTGTTCTCAGGAACGAGGAAACCGAAGATTTGGAAATCAGATTCGGATTTTCGAGGAATCAAAGGAGCTGCAGGATGCAAACGAAGGGTCTCTTTCAAAATTGCTTGCAAGTAAGGGAGACTCTGGATATGAGATTCTTGAACGACACCGTTTTCACCTATCACTTGCCGTATCTCACTCTGAGCTTTGACCATCTTCTCCGGTTTACGGATTAACTCCGTCATTGCCCACTCCATTGTACTAGAGTTTGTATCCGTGCCCGCAACAAACAGATCCTGTCGCACGCCAAAAAAAAAAGGTAATAATAATGAACGATTTTGCTCAAAATATCATTTTTTTTTGTTAAAGAATTTTGTTATTAACGTGTGTATCCTGGCCTCCATTCTCGGTGGGTCCAGACTAGTCGCAGGACCCCACAATATTACCACTGCGGGTCCTGCGTCGTTCACACGTGGCCTCACATCCGGGTTCGCTTTATCCCATCGTTAAAGAAACGGTTA